TCCTCGTGTTACTGGATAAATGAAGAGAATATTTTCAAAGAACAAGAATAATTAGTTTTATAAAATAACCAAATAGATACTTTAGTGTCTTATTTTCACATTAGTTCTGGAAGTCATTCATTGCCTAAAAAATTGTACACATAGAGATTGCAGCTCAGTACATGTAATCCTCAACTTGCAACAGTTCGTTTAGTGACTGTTCAAAGTTACAATGGCACTGAAAAAAATGACTTATGACCATTTTTCGCAGTTATGATTATTGCAGCATCCCCACGGTCATGTGATCAAAATTCAGATGCTCAGCAACTAGTTCATATTTATGATGGTTGCCATGTCCCAGGGTCACGTGGTAAACTTTTGCTACCTTCTGATGAGCAAAATCACTGGGGGATGCCAAATTCACTTAACAAACAGATTACTAAATTAACAACTGCAATGATTCACTTAACAACAGTGGTAAGAAAAATTGTAAAATGAGGCAAATCTCACTTAACAAATGTCTCACTTAGCAACATACGTTTTGGGCTCAATTGTGGCCATAAGTTGAGGGCTACTTGTATAGCAAAGAAAAATGTATATCGTTATATACCAGTGATGGCGAACCTTTTAGAGACCGAGTGCCCAGACTCCAACACAAAACCCACTTATGTATTGTTGGGTGCTGAGTGGGCGTGGCCCATTGGGTGGGCGTGGCCCATTGGTTGGGCGTGGCTGCAGTGGTAATGGCAAACTGGGTGGGACTAAAAAGTTCAATCAATCAATTCCAACTTTGCGAGATCTTTTTTTTTTCCTGTGAGAAGTTGAAATTGACTGATTGAACCTTTTTTTTTTTTTTTGCACATGGCAGTGGAGGCCTAAAGCGAAAAGGTTTTATAAAACCCAGCTGAAGGCCTAGGACTGGGGCGACGGAATGCATGCCCACAGAGAGGGCTCTGTGTGCCATCTGTGGCACGCGTACCATAGGTTCGCCACCACGGTTATATACAATAGTTTTTGTAAACTCACAATAGTACAATGTCTTTCATGTGCTATATTGAATTAGCACTGGATACCAATGCTGCAATTTTATTCTTTATTTTAGTTTACTTGAGGTGTTTCCAGAAATTCAGTTTTGAGCATGTGAGTGCCTAGATTAAATTCTTCCTGTCACTCTGTATTCTGTCTTGTGAAGCTATTTCTGTCATTTAGTTTAGAAGAGAGCGTCTCTTTCATGAAAAAAAATACAATCATTTCCCCTGGCTGTTTCATTTGCAACTCCTCTGTAAGCCACATAAGCAATGTATATGTTCTCTGGGGATGCCTAAATGCTACTAACATTTGACTCTTTCAGTATGGCTTAGGGAAATTTACTAGTCATTTCTTCACTGATTACAAGGCCATAGGACAAATCATTGGTCAAACACAATGTGTTATGATTCCATTCTTGTTCCACTGATAAACCACTATGGTAGCTGTTAGTTTCCATGAAACTGACTAGCCACATGCAGGTTATTGCATCTGGTTTAATAACATGGGGTTCTCCTTTCCCACTTTTAAGCTGTAAGCTTGAAACACACCAGTCATCAATCAATCAATCAATCAATCAATCAATCAATCAATCACATTTTAAGTTATAGATAATAGCTAACATTTGACTTGCACATGAACTTTCTTTCCATCCTGACGTGAACGATCAAACCATGTACCATTATCGGAATAAACTAGTATTTCCTACAGTTTGAGTTGGTTTAATACTGTCCCTTGTTCGTTAATATCTTGGGATAAAGATGGTGCAAGTGATAGTAATGTTTCACATATTTATAATTAATGCTTTTAGAGTGTATCTGAATATACAACTATTTCTTATTCTTAGTTAAGTATTGATTTTCTCAGATTTCTCTGCCTTAGAAGACATTTCTGATATTTCTCCATAAATAAAATTTTCTATAAATGATTCCCCCCACCTCAATAACCTCTATGGTAGAAAAGGCTTTTCTTGATATTCCTCTGGCCAGCGGAATAATCATGCTGATGGGAAATATATATCTAGTTTGCTTTTAGTCACTCTTACGATCTTCTAATCCTTATGACTGGACTTTTTTAATCTGTATTTTAAAAATTACCTTATTCTAGTTTGCTGTTTTCATCAAACTATAAGTAATGTCATGAATGAAGGCAAATATATGTGTCCTAGGATAATGTTGCAGGATCCAATCTGGGTTGGTCACCAGGACCAGAGTTTTTGACTTCCAAGCTTAAGTAATGTAACAAATCTAGGCGTTCTAACATTAGCAGTCCCTCATTTCCTTCTCTCTATTCACAATGCAATTTTTTACGTCATGATAACATTGTTTTCCAAGTTGCCTTGCAATAGTTGTCAGTGAAGAATAAAGGAAATCCACAACACAATAATAAGCCATTATGTGTGTTATCATGTAAGACAATATTTATTGTGATTTTTATTATTGCCTGTTCACCGCCCTGAGTCCCGTAAGGGAGATAGGGCGGTATATAAATTTAAATAATTAATAAATAAATAAATAAATTAAATAAATAAGACAATACTAGGAAACCTGCAGACTGCTGAAGGTTGACAGCAAAACGATTGCATTATGGTAGTGCAATTTCATCACATTTGGGGAGTTTGTGTGGGTTTAAAAGTGGAAATAGAAGTGATTTGCCTTCCAGAAGCCGTTCACATAAATACTTTCAAACCATAGCATCCTCCCCTCCCCAGTCATAAGCACCCATAAAGAGACGGATTGAAATATAATCTTGTCATCTGTGGCAGTCCCATTGGAAATTTTATAAGATTTTGATATTATTGCAATTCAATTTCTGGTAACAATATAAGCTAAACATGTCTCCATGGAGAATGGAGACAATAACTATGTCAAAGACTGAAGAACAGTGAATAGACTGGTTCTTCAAAACCTTTCTGGATAAGGAGAGGATGGGGGATTGCCCACCTGTGCTCCAGATGGCTGTTCTCCATCAGGAGACAGTGGTCTCCCATAGGTTTCAGTGCCAGGAGAAAAATTGATCATCAAACTCATAACTGCAGCAGAACTTTTTAAAGGACACTAATCTCCTTCTAGTCATGTTCAGAACTTGCTTATTTAACTCTTAGGGTTATTAAAAATCTTCAGTATAACAAGTTTGAAAAGCCATCTGCTGAGTCTAACTTTATTTCTGAACATAATGAAACTGTAAGCTTAAGAATTTAAAGAATTTGAAATACATGAAAAAGATAAATGAATGTTTGAACCAATAAAACTATAAATCAGTGGTTCTCAACCTTTTTAATGCCGCGACCCCAACCGGTCGTAAGTCGAGGACTAAACCGGTCGTAAGTCGAGGACTACCCAACCGGTCTTAAGTCGAGGACTTTCCCTGCCCGGGAGTGCCGCGCATGCGTGGTTCCGCCCCCTGCGCCGGCCGAGGCGTAGCTGGCAAGTGGCAGAGACGGAGCAGGCCGACCACCAGCTGGCCCAGCCCAAGGGAGGTAAGGCACCTGCTGGAAAAGGGGAAAAAAATGGCAGACAGCCTTGCTTGGCGACCCCCGTGAAATGGTTGATCGACCCCAAATGGGGTCCCGACCCACAGGTTGAGAACCACTGCTATAAATGAATCAAGGAACCAGACAAATTTGGGATATTGAAACTTTTAGTATAAGGTTTTGGAACCAGCTAATTAAAATAAACAGCTTTTTGTGGGGACTAGAATCTTTTTGTTTGCTGTAAATCATAACAGAGATTAGAGACCTTATGAGTTAAATTGGACATTGGAAAAACAGAAAAACAGAATTACCTTTTATTGTGACTCAGATTAAGATTTACAAAAATGACAAAAACACTATAGTGCTTGAGACTTTCAAAGAATGGAGCTAAAAATTAATAGTCCTAGTATGAAATTCTGACAACCTTTTACAAATTTATGAGAAGTGGTATCTGTTTGTAACCTTATAGGTGGTGAACAACTACCAGATTTGTTTATTGTGATAATTATTGGAAATTACTTCTTTATATATTTCTTTTCTTTTTCTTTATTCCACTCTTTCCTTTTTCTTCTTTTTTATTTGCATATTTCACTCTTTCTTTTCACTTTGCTTTCTGTGTTTTATTACTTTGCATTAATATAATAGATACAGTTAAAGATAATATTTTGATAATTATAACCCAAATGATTTGATGTTACTGCCCAAATGTTTTGAAATTTCAGAAAGAAACACTGGCATCTTTTGAGACTTGCTGAACTTAAACTATCATTTTTGTTTTATTGTTAACAATAATTTCAATACAGATCAATACAAACATTTTCATTTAATTTGGGGTCAGCATGGATGCTATCAAGATGCTCAACATACACTGGAGGTCTTTAAAACTATCAAGAATACTGATCCACATAAAGGAAGCAATTCAGAATTGAATGTTCAAAAGAACTGATGTTTCAGAATCCATGACTTTTTTTGGCCTTTCTGAGGGGATTCTTTGATGTTCTGGCTGTTCTGCCAAATGTACCAAGATAAATTTTCATTCTGCAGCAACCCAACTTTCTTTCCTACAGTAATTCTGCTATTCTTTTCTTTAAAAAAGCATTGGGTTAGTCTTACTAGGTGTGAAATTGTGAAATTCCAAATTCTGAACAGGGGAGAAGTATGCTAATTGTTTATGTACAACACCACACTCACAGCCCCCAATCGCTACTCTTTTAGGAAAATATTTACTTTCACTCATTTATGTTGACATTCATAGCAATCTGGAACTGAAAATGATTAAAGTGCAGTTATTTATATGGTGTTTAATGCTTATCACTCTTAGAAAAGGCATATTTTAAAATGACAGAGGTAAACAAATATAATAGAAGCTCATGAGATGTTTTTTTCAAACATTGTGAAGTTATATTTTGATGAATGGAATTAACTATACAGTCATTTTTCTTTTAGTATTTTAGCTGTTCTGAGCAGATATATGATGTCAACATCATCCAGCCTTTTTAACATTGAGTTTTATTGTTTTCAGAGACGCAATGGAGAAGATATTCCAGTGGCCCAAACAAAAAACATAAATCACAGACGTTTTGCTGCTACCTTTAAACTTCAGGAAGTAACAAAAACAGATCAGGATTTATATCGCTGTGTTACTCAGTCTGAGAGAGGATCTGGAGTTTCCAACTTTGCTCAACTTATTGTTCGAGGTAAGGGTTTCTTAGATTTCTCTGACATGAGCCCTTTATATTTTTACCATTAATTTATATTCCATCAGAAGCTCAAAGGAACTCCTCTCATTTTTTCTCCAAGCCAACCCTCTAAAATAGGTTGGGCTGAGACAGAGCAATGGGCCCAAACAACCAATAAGCTTCAATGGAGTAGTAAATCATGCTATTATAAACATCACAGTTATATAGATGATTCTTACATTGGGTTATAGATAAAAATCAATGGAAAATAATTGCTACATGTACCCTTTATTTTAAATTCTGCCTCTAAAATCCTGGGAGTATGAGTTCATAGCCAGAGGATGTAGAGTGTGAGGCTTACTATATTATTTCAAAAGCAATACCTAGTAAAAGTGTTTTCTTGTTTGTTTCGTTAACCATCAAACAAGCCTCATTAGTCAAAAACATACCCCGGGGAGAAAGCTTCTCCAGTATTAAAACTGTGCTGAAAATTAAGTACACTGACAGGACCTATATCTTAATGGCACTTTAACACTAATGTCGTGTTCCATGGGCACAAAAGATGGTAATTTTAAAGGAAATTTTTGGGCCAGTGGTATGAATTGCCTTTAATAAAAGCTGGCATAGTATTGCCCATAGTAAAAAATGACCGGGGGTAAGAGTTTATTAGTGCATTCCTTTCTAAACCCAAAGTGACAGGGCACGCTTAAGGACTTTCTATTGCTATTTGGAACAAATAAAAATTTCAATGCTAAATTCACATACTGACGAATCTTGATCTATGTGATCCCTCAACTGTAGGGGAAAAAAAATGATGATACGATGAAATACAATTTATTTTGTCATGTCTTGAGTATTGCTTCTATATCATTTTGACTAATGAGACTATCTTCAACTTGCAGAAGACAAATCTTGACACTTCTAGGCTTTAATGAATGTGAGATGAATAAGACCGGCTGTTGATAAACTAGATTAAAATTGGCTCTGTTCTATTGCCAGGAATAAATGTTCAAAAGATATGGTTTACTTACTACTTAATATTTGTAAGCCAGCAGAAAGATAGAAAATGAACAGGGTAAAATATTAAAATGAAAAGACATAATTGAAAGAAAAATCAGTTTATATATTTTTATAAAAAATATCAGTATATATTTTTACATGTATAACTGAGAAATTATAAGTGTCAGGAAACAAAGGTGGCAAATTTATATATAATGTATGTTTCTTGCTATTGTCCATTTCAGTAGTAGCTCTTAAGAAGTGAAGTCCATCAGAAAATGGTGGAGTAAAAATCAAACTTTAGTTTCATGTACAATATTACACATTAAATTATGTCCTTTTAATTTTTTTCACAAAGTTGTCAAATGCTGTAGGAAATTGCATCTTCATAGTCGAACTGATCGATTGATTGAATTTATAGCCTGCTATAACTCCTGGAACTCAAGGGAGTTTATAAGAGGATCTCCATTGATTTCATTCTTACAATATTAAAGATAGGCTATTGTTGAAGTAGGATAAGCTAAGAAAGAGTGACTGGCCCAAAGTAATTCAGTGAGCCCCATCCCGTGGTTGATGGTGGCCTAGAATCTGGGCCTCCCCCTTGTAGTCCCAGCCATTAATCACTACTGCATGCTGGCTCTCTCTGATATGTTTCCTAAAAATGTTCTATTCAATAAAACAGTGGTAACAGTGGTACAAATTGTGAATTAAATTCTTGAGTATTGATGAACCGATGTCAGGTACCACCTTTTCCCCAAGATATTTTTTTCTTATTAATAAAACTCATGATTGAAAAAATAATATTTCTTTACTTATTTACATATTTTTATTTTTTCATATTTTTCATTACATTTTAAGCACTATTTTTATAAGACTAATTTTTAAATAAAATCAGTGTGCATTTTAAAATTAACCCTACAGCTTTTAGTAACAGATGTTGATGTTTTTGGAAAACCATGGAAATGATGAGGAATAGAGGCAGTGTTATTTCTAACATTTGTGAAGAAAACATCCAATATTATACCGTATGAATAATTAAATTATTCACAAGTTTATAAAAAAGGCAAAAATATAAAATTGAATTTGTGTTTTATTTATGTACTTAAGGAAATGTTTTTGGTTAAGTGTTCCTGTTCTTTATCTGTCACTGTTGTTATTTAGTCAAGTATCAAAAGACAGGCTCTAGGAACAATTATCTAATTCAGATCTATGAGTCTGGGTCTACTTTCTCTAATTGCAATATTCACAATGTATGATAGTAAACACATTTCTAAATTATCAAAAGATGGATGGTCTTCTTCCAAATGCTCTGTGATAATAGCAGATACACTAGTAATTATTCTATACTTTGTACCTGGCTCAATAGTTGTAACTGTGAGAGGGATCTTGGAGTCCTAGTGGACAATCACTTAAATATGAGCTAGCAGTATGCTGCAGCTGCCAAAAAAGCCAACACAGTGCTAGGCTGCATTAACAGAGGGATAGAATCAAGATCACGTGAACTATTAATACCACTTTACAATGCCTTAGTAAGGCCACACTTGGAATACTGCATCCAGTTTTGGGTGCCACAATGGAAAAAGATGTTGAGACTCTAAAAAGAGTGCAGAGAAGAGCAACAAAGATGATTAGGGGACTGGAGGCTAAATCATATAAAGAACAGTTGCTGGAATTGGGTATGTCTAGTTTAATGAAGAGAAGGACGAGGGGTGACATGATAGCAGTGTTCCAATATCTCAGGGGTTACTACAAAGAAGAGGGAGTTAAGCTATTCTCCAAAGCACCTAAAGGCAACACAAGAAGCAATGGATGAAAACTAATCAAGGAGAGAAGCAACCTAAAACTAAGGAGAAAATTCCTTACAGTTAGAACAATCAGTGGAACAACTTGCCTCCAGAAGTTATGAATGCTCCAACACTAGAAGTTTTAAAGAAGAGATTGGACAACCATTTGTCTGAAATGGTATAGGATTGGAGTAGAAGATCTCCAAAGTCTCTTCCAACTCTGTTATTCTGTTATTCGCAGCAATGGCAGAAACATCTGGGACAGATATTAATAATAAAACTATTTCCACTCAATTCTATCTTATTGTTTGGTCACAAAAATAATTCCCAAATGGAGAGGTTATTTTAATAATTCTCGCAAATAAAGAATGCATTATCTCAGGCTCAGTTTCTTGTCTTTTCTAGAGTTAAAAAGAGTTTGGATCCTGATATCTCTGCACATTTAATCAACTGCAGAAAGAGGTTTGTCACCCACAGTGACCTGATATTAGACATATTTTTGAGTTCATCATCCCAGATATTATTTTAAAATCTAAAATACATATGTCCTCATTGAAGGCTTTCATGAAAAGAATCTTATGTTTTAAAACAGAAATCCCGGATTTATCTCAAAATAGGATGCAGTTCTTAATTAGCCCTTCAAAGACTTTTCTTTTGTTAATATTGTATAAAAAGAAATCCTTGGCCAGAAATATAGAATCAGAATATTCTGTTATAATGAGTTCAGAAGGGAGGTTTTCATAATATTTGATTCTTGTCTGCCATTCACTGATGAGTACAAGAGAAAAATCTTCCAAGTCTGACATTTCTCAAGATTGTCCTGGATTGCTGAGAAGAGATTGGATGATAAGATTGGTTGCCCAATGCTTGGTAACAGCAGAAAGCAGAAGCCATTTGGAATTCAGCCTAGATATGAAAAAAAATGCAAGATGTCAGTGAAGCCATGTATTAAAGAGAATTTGAATTGGAAACAGAATTCCAATCTGCCACTGGGGCATTTTGATCATTTTGATTTATTAAATTTTTATAGCTGTATTCAGATGAAACTGAATTACTATACTTAATCTTGAATGGTTTATTGTCGGTTGGGATTTTGAAACAGACTTTATTTGAATGATGAACTAGGGGTTAATAATAAGTTCCACTTTTGGTGCACAGGGTGAATACATATTAAATATATCAATTTAAATGTCTAAAGGTATTCTATTTAATTTGAAGAGTCCCTAAAATAATACTGTGTGTCTATGCAAACAGAATATTTGCAATTTTCCATATGTGGGCATATCTGGGACTCACATCAAAACAAACACCAGTGACATTTATATTTAAAGAAGAGAAGCAAATAAATAAATAGATATGAGTTCTCTGAAGCAATTGCATTTTTTTAATCATCTCCCTTTATGAATTCCCAAAGATGGGATTTCCAAGTTCTGAGTGTAGCTCTAAAAAATCAATTACTATTAGAGTGGCACTCTAGGTTAGAGGCATGATTGGGTTCATACCTGGTTTTGCAGCAGGGAGATGATACTTTGCTGAAAATCAGGCATGGATGAGATGGAGTTCAAGGAGCAGTAATGTGAAGGTCCAGCACTATCATTCCAAGCTGTCTGAGAAACATGATGGATGACTTGGTGGCAAGAAGGAAGCCTTGATGATAAAAGATTCATCTCCAGATTCAGAGCTGTGCAGTGACACCTGGCTGGTGTTCCAGCAGCACAGTAATTCTTGATTACTGGATCTAAATTACTATACTTAAGAAAGCAAACCAGGCTGTTCAATTAGGAGACCATTATTTCTGCATCTCAAACATTTCTGCTCATTGTAAATGTAATTATCTCATTTATGCACAGTACTTGTTGATGTGATCTTGTAAGCTTATGTTAATATGGTGAGTAATTTGCTACCTCCCCAAATTGTCTCTGTGTGTTTCCTGGACATTCTCATGAAACATGATGAATGATCTCACTCAGCATGTATAAATGAAAATGAAACGGATAATTGGGTATTATATCTAAAATGTGGCTCGTATCGTAGATATAATTATTTTTTTCCTCCTAGGATGAAATAAGGTGATTTGCGATATATCAGTAATCTTCAGTCCTCTGGACACTTGTTCTGTTTGAGAACAATTTTGAAAAAGATGTCACAAGGTTCAACCAGTACAGATCTTTCAAAGATTTTGAAAGAATTTGGTTCTTTAATCATTCACAGGAACTGACTAATCATGACCCTGCT